GTCTGTCTTTCAAGCTGGCTCTCCCACTGCTTCATTACATAAACCTCATCCCATCAATCTGGTCTGTGTTGTTTCATTAGCACTACCCGGGGTTCACAACGCCATCTCTACACACAAACCATTTCCTCCATCTACAATGCCTACTTTCCATTCAGCCGGACTCTATTCAGGATATAGCTCAAATGCCACCTCCACTAGAGAGGTCTTCCTTCACAGACCACTGATGAGGCTGGAAGTGACCTCCCCACTGCCACTCCACTGCATCATACCCCCACCAATCTCCCTCTGACTGTCACAGTTCCAATTATATGCCTCTTATCTAATTTCCGAACTCTACTATAGTTATACATTTATCATACCTTCCCTACTAAAACATAAACGCTTAAACACACAGACACTGTTGAATCAGACCATTCTCCTAAACTTTCTCCTTCCAGGGCTTCGGTGTTACTACACTTTCTTCTCTGTCAACGGCATCGCAATTCATCCTGTCAGTCACCAAATCTCAAAATCTCAGGTAACCTCATACTTCTTAAAACCTCAGGTGACCTCGTCTTCTTATAGATTCCCTTTGCATTTAAACCACTTCCCATGTACCCAGTCACTTAGAAATACTAGAGATTAAATCTCTGCAACATTTTTTCTATCATTTGCCTCCTTTCCATTTTTTTGACTTCCACCCATAGAGCACAGTAGTTACGAGTATAGACTGAAGTCAAATTCCCTGGGTTCGGATCCCAACTCCATCAGTTGGGTAACTCTGGGAAAGTTCCTAAGGCCCTGGGCCTCACTTTCCTCCTCAGTAAAATTGTAATGGGCAGTTTCACGTCATCAGGCTGTCGTAAGGATTAAAATGATACAGTATGTGTACAGTGCTTGAGACACAGTAAGAGCTCAACAAATATTAGCAGCTTTATTTTATTTTACTTTATTTTTTGAGATGAGGTCTCGCTCTTGTCGCCCAGGCTGGAGTACAACAGCGTGATCTCAGCTCATTGCAACCTCCGCCTCCCGGATTCAAGCGATTCTCCTGCTTCAGCCTCCCAAGTAGCTGGGACTACAGGTGCTTGCCATCACGCCCAGCTTATTTTTGTATTTTTAGGAGAGATGGGGTTTCACCATGTTGGTCAGGCTGGTCTCGAACTCCTGACCTTAGGTGATCCACCAGCCTCGGCCTCCCAAAGTGCTGGGATTACAGGCGTAAGCCACCACGCCTGGCCCATATTAGCAGCTTTATTATCATACCCCCTCCTACTTTAAGACTTGATGAACTCTCTTTTTTTTCCATATTGGTTTTTAAAATTCTTCTATTGACTACAAAGTCAAAGACAAAAGACCTCATCTCTTGCCCAGACTCCTGCAATAATGTCCCAAACGGATCCCTCTGCTGCGGGTCTGTCTTAATCACAATGCTACCCACTGCTCTAAATAATCTTCATGTATGCACAAGAGTCAGATCTTATATAGGACTCTGACAGCAAGATCTGTTAAGATAGACAACTGTAACAAGTTATATTTATAATAGGAAATATTATATATCACTAAACTAGGATAAAAAGGGGAATAATAGTTGAGAAGACTGAAGTGATAAACTGACACTAGGAAATGGGCCTTGAATTCCAACTTCAAGAGTTTAGCAAGCGTGTCACAAGAGGTTTTGCACCTATCATTTCCCCCAAAGGAATTAAAGGAACAGAACATTTAAAGAAAATTCAGTAAAATCTTTGTTTAAATGGGTTAAGCTCTTCACATATAGAAAAGACACAAATAGTTGAACTTTTTCCTCCTTTACAATTTAGATGATCTATTTACTGTTTCAAATTCATCTATAAAAATTTATTCTTCATTTAATCAAATATTTAATGTATGTGCATTCTTCCACAAAATAAACTATTAAAATTTGGGCTATTTGTAATACTTTTATAATACTACTGTAAAGAGAAGAAAATGATTCAAAGCTCTTGACATAAGACTTCAAATTACATAAATATTCCATATCTGCTTTCTAGGTATTACACTACCAGTGTTTATTTTTTTTTAAGTTCAATTACTTCGTTCTATGTTCACAACTTATTTATAGTCACTTAAAAGCTATCATTTTAAATGACTTTTACAATATATGGTTTTAAAAGTGACTACTTTTTCAGTACATCAAAAATTAGAAAGTTTCTAACAGAAAACACCAAATCAGTGCCTGAAGACCCTGTATGTCATTGCTAAAGGAGTGATTTTAGTAAACCATACTTGAAAGCTGGGCTAATTTTTTGAATAACTGAATATAATTAGGTAATATCTTTGAAATATACTGTCTATTAACCTTTCCTGCACAACAGTATCTGCAGAAAATATTTACATCCAAAAAAAAAGAAAATTCCTAATTTTTTTCTATTCACTACATATAAATTTATGTTTTGAAAGAGTGTTGATAAAGACTTATAAACAAAATGTACAAACATAACATTCTAAATAACATATTAATATATTGTTACTAAGTCACTTAAGGTCTTTTAAACTTGTTTTTCATCCCATGTGAATGTGGTCTTTTCATCCATTCCAACTGCTGCCAAGGCAAAAGTAATAACCAACAATATCATCTAAAACATCTGAAAATGAATTAAGATTTGTACAATTTTTAAAGAAAAAAATGTTAGATTTCAATATGTACTATGTGCACATTTTTCACACTTGTAGATAAAAGGGTTACTCTGCAGAATGGTATAGAGTAATAAGCAAAGACTTCAGAGGCAGACAAGCAGAACACATCACTTGCCAGATGTTTAATCTCATGCAAATTAATCTGTGAGCCAGTTACCTTATCCGCAAAATGAGAACAGTATCTACAGGGTTGCTACAGGAATAAATGAAGTAATGTATTCAGAGTGATGGGTATATAACAGGAGTGTCCCACCTCCACCAATATCTTATTACCCTCTGGAAACAGGCTTCAAATCAAAACTCATCTCTGCCACTTACTAGCACTGTGATAGTAGGAAAGTTAACCTCTCTATGCACTGACTTCCTCATATTTTTTTAAATAGGAAAAATCAGAGTTGTTATGCATAACAACCTACATCAGAGAGTTGTTATGCATCCCTAATGTACAACTTAATGCAAAGCATCCCGCAGAGTGCCCGGCAGACATCAGATTCCACCGATACTAGATTCCCTTCATTTCCTTTCCTCTTCAGGTGTGTTCAATGTGTTCAAGTGGGCCACAATCTACCAACCTGCCTGACACATATCCAGAAAGTAGGCCATTTTCTAGTCCTCTGTGTATGCACAGCAAAATTTTGACATCTGTACTATAAGTGTCCTCTCAGTTCCAGATGGAAAGAAAACACTTTTCTTAATCCTTTTGCCTTCCACTTCATACATACTACTTTTCCACATAGGTGACTATGTAAATTTCCCTCTTTCCATGTTTTCTAAGCACTTAAACAGCCTTCATTTGCCATCTAAATAGATATTAGCTTCAGTGTGCTGCTTAAGTTAAAACCAAAATATATTTATTATTCTCACTGCTTATATCAGTGGTGCCAGAATGTTTTCATAAGAAGGCAGTAACACTTTGTGCTTCTTCCTATGAGTTACACTAGACATTTAATTTCAAAGAGATGTTTAAAATTTAAATTATTTGAAAAGGATTTATTACATTTATTCCTGATGCCAGTTTAATATCAAAGCATATTAAATTAAAATTAAATTTTACTTGAAAATTCAAGTAAAATTAAGGCTGCCATAAACATAAAATCACATCAATGTGAAGTTTTCCCAAAAACAAATTCAAATAATTTTCCAAACACTGAGATTAATCTGCTATTTAACTAGGATGTGTAAGTCCTGAAAATACTCAGTTGTGTGTAAGTTTGAGCAGTAAAACCGAACTAAACCATTTACCAAAACATTAATTACATAGTCCTAAAATTGGAAATTAGCCACCCTCCCCACAAAAAAAAAAAAAAAAACCTATATTTAACATCTGGAAGTTTGTGAGTACTAAGGAACTTTTCAACAAATATTTCATGTATCTAAAATTCAATAACAAGGGAATAGAAATCTTGGAAAATTACTCTTAAAAGTTACCAAATTACAGAAGCATCTTCCAATGAAAAGCAGCTCTCTAATTTTTGCAGCATTTCACAACATGGGCTCCTAAAGCAACACTAAAGAATCACAACGGCCCTTTTCCTGTTATTTTGCAAAGACGGGGTTATGGAGGGAGTGCTTAACTGCTACTGTACTATTCAATATCTGTGTCAACAGCACATGCCTTCAAAAAACTCTTCTATTAAAAAAATTCCCTAAGTAGGGAATTTTTGTTTCTTTTATGAAGCCAAAATACATTTGGAAAAAAGACTATGCCTCACTGATAATATGAAATGAAAACAGCACCCTACTGTCAGCAAACTATAAACATCGGTTTTAAATAACTGATTTAGTAAGAACCTAAAATGTGTGCAGAAGGCTGTTACAGCCTTAAAGAGTTAACAGCAAAAATACTGCACTCGACACAGGCCACCTTTATATCCGACAGAGCCTGAATAGCAGCCATCATTACAAATGTCAAAATCAATATAGTACTGTGCACTATCCACCTTCTTGCAATAATAAAGAAACCAACTCAGAATTCTTAGTGGTGTAATCACAATTATGACTGAGGCAGAAATGTATGCAGCACAACGAAGAAAATACCACTCTGTTAAAACCACTCTATGTAAAAACATGATAAAATTGCTCACTGCGGCGGGGAAGGGAACACTTCTGCTATCCAGTAAAAGGAATCTGGCCAAATCCCACCTGACCATTCACGGGCCCTTCATTGAAGACCAAACCTGCTTTCCTTATTTCTCCTTTCTTTCTCCTCTTCCTAACCTCCCATCATCTCCTTGTACCTGTACGAGAAGGCCGGCATGGAGAGGGGTTCGAGAATCGGGAACAAAAACCGGGAATGTGGACCACATCAGGAGGAAGAGGGGGAGAGAAGGGGTGACACCACTAACCTGTCCCAAAGGCTTTGGCCACCAGCCAGGCCAGATTGCAGGCGATTTTGGCCCTGGAGAAATCATAGTGGTCAAAGGGCTTGATGGCTGGAACAATGAACGTCTTTCTCATCTCCCTGGGGTCTGCAGCATCCCCCATCTTTCACGGCGGCTCCTCGGGATGTCCAGGCCCTAACCTTCACATGGCGTGGCCTCGCCGCCGCAGAGGTCGGGAGGGAGGGAGAGGCGAGCTCAAACCATCGGGACCCGGGCGACGTCCGCCCGAGCGCCGAAGCGGGAGGAGAAGCTCAGCTGTCCGCGCCGCGCGCCTGCCGCCTCCCGCCGCCGCCGCCGCCGCCGCCGCCGCTCCCGGGCATAGGAATGTGGCGGCGCCGTCTCCGTCCGTCCGTCCGTCCGTCGGTCAGCCCCGCGCCCGCGCCCCTCCGAGCCACCCGCCCCGCGAGCGCGCGTGTGAGCGAGGCCGCCTCCCCTTTGTCTCGGTTTAGTCACACGGGCTTGGGGGAGGGTGGAGGCTGGAAGGGCCCGGAATTTTAAGGGAGGTGGGGGGAGCCTTCAACAATCACGTTGTGGAAAATGTCCCCGCCATCGCGCAGCCCGCAAGCCCTCGCCTCCCTCTGCCGTTCCCTTGGAGCGGGGAGACCACTCACGCCCCGGGTGGGCGGAGGGACGAGCGGGACGAGCGGGGAGCGCGGGGCGGGGTGGCCCACCCAGTGCAGCCCGGCCGGGGCCCGCGGGAGACGCAGCGGCGGAAAACGTCAAAATCACTGCGGCTCGCAGGCCGCCGCCGGCCCGGCCCGGCCCCTCCTCTGCGCTCCCTACAGTCGCCGTCTCCTCCTTCCCTTGCCGCCGCCGCCGCCGCCGCGGCCGCCTCCCGGTCTTCCTCCCTTGCTGACGGCGAAGGTGGTGCTCGGGGAGAGGCCGCGAATCCCCAGCTCTCAGTTCCTGTCTTATCACATCTGTCCTGGTAATTTTTTCCTGCCCTCCTTTCTGCCGCCCGCTGGGTCGTTCCCCCTCAGCCGCCGCCGCCGCCGCCGCTGCGGTTTTCCGGCTGCGGCACTGGACCTAGGAGCAAACGCGGGAACTGAGCATGCGCCCTCTCGCGGCGCCGACCCCCGCCTCAGCCCTCGCCCCCGCCCCCGCCCCCGCCCCCGCCCCGCTTCCCTCCCGCCGCCGGCCCACTGAGCATGCCCAGCCTCGCTCTCCGCCCGCGCCCAGGATTCGGGGCGGCTGCCTTTTAATCATCGCTCTGGAGTACTCGCTTCAGTGGACATCCTCCACGTCTCTGGCTTTTGGCTGCTGCTGCCTGCACTGCTGAGAGAGGAAAGGGAAGGAAGGGAGAAGAGACAGAGAGGCCTGGCAATACCTTTCATATTCTACTCACACGGTGCTTCAGCGAAGACAGTTGATATTTAAAATGCTCATTATGTGACACGAGCTTTGCAGCGAACTTGACCTGCACCGCCTCATTTAGCCCTCGCAGTAACCCTGAGGGGTACGTGTCATTGCTGATTGTCCACAGAAGAGAGGTGAAGTGAGTTGATTAGGTCATACATGGAACTCATACGAAGAACTTAACCAGGGTTGAGGATCTATGGAGGCTCCAAACCTGTGTTAATTTCATGATACCGAGATACTTTCTTAGCTCAATGCTCTCCACTTAAATTTTATCTCTAAGTGAGAGTGCACACATCCAACAGTTCGCTCAGAAAAAAGCATAAATTCTTGGCCGGGCGCGGTGGCTCACGCCTGTAATCCCAGCACTTTGGGAGGCCGAGGCGGGTTGATCACCTGAGGCCGGGAGTTTGAGACCAGCCTGACCAACATGGAGAAATCCTGTCTTTACTAAAAATACAAAACTCGCGGGGCGTGGTGGTGCATGCCATGCCTGTAATCCCAGCTGCTCCGGAGGCTGAGCTGAGTTCAAGAGAATCGCTTGAACTCGGGAGGTGGAGGTTGCAGTGAGCTGAGATCGTGCCATTGTACTCCAGCCTGGACAAGAGCGAAACTTTGTCTCAAAAAAAAAAAAAAATAGCATAAATTATTTCACAAAGCAAGCTGACGTCCTTTGTGATCTGGCATCTACAAGCCTTTATAGCTTCATTCTGTCACAACTGCTTTTTCTTTCCCTCAATGAACATGCCTTCTCGGATCTCTAACTCCTTGCTCAGGGTGGATCCTCTGTCCACTCCTTCTGTACCTTCAGCCTCCACAGTAGTCATCCCTCCATGAAACCTTCCCTGATAGGTGCTGACAATTTTCCAGTTAGGGCTGTCACATAGGTGCCTCCCCTATTGTTCCCGGAGCACCCTGTTCTTATTTCTGTCATAACATTTGTCATTTGTCACATCGTGTGGTAATCATCAGTTACTTGTCTGTTTTTCCCATTAATGATATGATGGCAGGGTATATCTCCAGCACCTATATGGTGCCCAGCCCCATAATATAATTGCTCAATTAATGGACTACATGTGAATATTATCAAAGTTAACACATATTGAGCTTACTTAAATCACTAGCTCCTCACATCTCATGTTAATACATTATCTAATTTTATTTTTAAATTATTATTATTATTGAGATGGAGTCTTGCTCTGTCACCCAGGCTGGAGAACAGTGCCGAGACCTCAGCTCAGTGCAACTCCTGCCTCCCAGGCTCAAGTAATTCTCCTGCCTCAGCCTCCAGAGTAGCTGGGACTACAAGCGTGAGCCACCATGCCCAGCTAATTTTTGTATTTTCAGTAGAGACAGTTTCACCATGTGGGTAAGGCTGGTCTTGAACTCCTGACCTCAAGTGATCCACCAGCCTCAGCCTCCCAAAGTGCTGGGATTACAGGCATAAGCCATCACACCCAGCCTATTATTATTATTATTATTATTTGAGACAGGGTCTTGCTTTGATGTGCAGGCTAGAATGCAATGGAGAAATCATGGCTCACTGCAGTCTCAACCTTCCAGGCTCAAGCAATCCTCTCACCTCAGCCTCTCATATAGCTGGTACTACAGGTACACATCACTGCACCCAGCTAATTTTGTTTATTTTTTGTAAAGATGGGGTATCCGTATGTTGTCCAGGCTGGTCTCAAACTCCTGGACTCAAGGGATCCTTTCACCTCAGCCTCCCAAAGTGCTAGCATTATCTAATTTTAATCTTTATAAAATCCTGTATTATTATCTTCATTATACAGATGAGAAAACTAAGGCTCAGGAAAAAAAAAATTTTTTTTTGAAACGGAGTCTCGCTCCATCGCCCAGGCTGGAATACAGTGACATGATCTCAGTTCACTACAACCTACACCTCCCAGGTACAAGCAATTCTCCTGCCTCAGCCTCCCGAGTTGCTGGGACTACAGGTGTATGCCACCACACCCGGCTCATTTTGTGTTTTTAGTACAGATGGGGTTTCACCACTTTAGGCAGGCTGGTCTCAAACTCCTGACCTCGTGATCTGCCCACCTCGGCCTCCCAAAGTGCTGGGATTACAGGTATGCGCCACGCACCCAGCCAAAAATTGTAATTACTCTTATTTTGCACAAATAGTAAAGGCAGATTCAAGATTTGAACCTAGAACTGTCTTACTCAGTGAAATCTCTGCAGAATATCACTGTCAAAACATGGGCTTCTGTTGAGCCCAAGCTTTGAACAACTAGGGCCTCCCTGTTGTTATCAACCCTCAAGGTAGAAACAAGATACACGATGCATGAGAGGAGAGGCTTTGGACCCTACTATTTAAGAGGGCAGTGCAGTCAAGAAGCAGGTCCCTTTATTTCTGATTAATTCCTGTAAACACTCCTTCCTAAACCTAGTAGGGCACAATAGATAAGGCTTGCTAACAATGTGGGATACGAAAATAATGTGAGAATAATAATATACCACAGGTGGTTGATGTAATTTTTCAATAATTTAATTAATATTAATAAGGTTTTTCTCATGGGCAAGGTCCTTTGCTATATCACGTGGGGGATAATAAAATTAACATATAGATAACAGTTCACAAAGCATGTTCATATGATAACTAATTTCCATATCTATTTTATGAAGTAGGCATTATTATTGTCTTCCAATTCTAGATGCAGGACTGAGAATTGCAAAGTGGCATGGCCAAGATTTCATGGTTGATTCATATCTGAGTCCAGCTTCAGATTCAAGCACAGGTGTTCTGGCTCCACTCCTCTGGCACTTTTCCCTGTGCCTGCTCTCTTTCTGGATCATGGAGGCTAACATGTACATAAATAAATGTATAACACAGTGTAAAAGTGGTAAGTGCTGTAAGAGATATAAAGTGCAGTCAGGGGTCAGGCACAGTGGCTCACGCCTGTAATGCCAGCATTTTGGGAGGCTGAGGCAGGTGGATCACTTGCGGTCAGGAGTTCAAGACCAGCCCGGGCAACCTGACGAAAACCTGACTCTATTAAAAATGCAAAAATTAGCCAGGCATGGTGGTGCACACCTGTAATCCCAGCTACTTAGGAGGCCAAGGCACGAGAATCACTTGAGCCCAGGTGGCCGAGATTGCAGTGAGCGAGATCATAGCACCTCACTTCAGCCTGGGTGACAAAGCAAGATTCTGTCTCAAAAAAAAGAGTGCAGACAGACCATATATAGGTGGAGAGATTGGGAAGGTTTCTTGGAGACTTCTGTTGAACCTAATGTTCTCAAATTCAACTTTGACTGAATTCTAGAGCCCATAAATCATGTTAGGAAAAACCTATAGCCCAGGAAGGTTGAAGAGAGATACTGAAACATTTCACCAGTCATTATAATAATCTGCAAGCCAGTACAAGATTCTCGGGGCCAGAAATCATGCCCTAATCACGTTAATGTTGCATGTGACCTAGCACAGTAGTTTGTTCTCAATGGGTGCTGGGTAAATACTTGTTGGATTTCATTGAAAACTGTTTCAGCCTAAATGAACAAGAAAGAGAAGGAAACAAAGTAAGTTGTTCCAACTTGTCCCTTGATTCAGTGGTGATGCATTTAGTAGAGATGGCATAACTAGAACCCCAAGTGGGAAGGAGTATGTATAGGAATAGGAAAAAGCAAAATGCGTAAACAATGAGCAGCTTTTACTTTCAGGGAGGCTGTGAAACAACTTGGGGTCATAGTAGGAGACTGTTATTAAGAGGGAAACACCCTGAGTACAAAGAAGAAGGATTCATTTTCAGGGAGACAGACACTCTAATAGGATGTTCTTTGTGTCACCTTCAGAATGATCCTTTTAAAACCTGGAAATCTCTGCAGAATATCACTGTCAAAAAGAAATGCTCTCCACTTCCCTTAAGATATCTGACTTTGTTCAAAACAAAACCCAATGGTTCTCTGGACCTGCTTGTCCAACTGCACAGCTACCCCTCCGCTCTTTATCTCCAGGCCTAGGGGCTCAGTTCATCAAGCC